AMYYTTWARKYYCCYTCCAATCTAAACCATTCTRTGATCCTGTGTATCTAATTTCTGGAATATCAGCAGAACAATGAGAAACTGTCCTCATTAAAAAATAGAACAGTTATGATGTCACCATCCCTTGTAGAGTTGGAGATTTCATCAGAAATCGCAGCCTCAAGTAGGGAAGACCTTGCAAGCCAAACACCAAACCCCTGCATTTTCAGTTAATGACAGAAGGAGGGGAGGAGAAAACAAAAAGATGTTAARGGGGGACAGCTGACAAATTAAACTCATAGCAGAGGACATGGGTGAATTTATTGCTTGCAAAGGGAAGGCACTAATTTAACAAAACCATGAACTCTGCAGAATATTTGGGGATTGTGGTTTCTTGGGCCTTTCAAGTATCCTGTCCAGATCCCGTCTAACCCTGAGGCTTTAGCGCTATTCTGCAGAAACATATGGAGTTAAAGGAACAGATATAGTTAGCAGCAAACAAACAGGAAATGAAACAATGCCCAAGATAAGATATCCCGGAGAGCATATCAGGAGTCCTCCCCAGAACAATGGGCAAGGCCATTAATTAGGAAAGCCCGACGCCTGTCTCCAGCTGAGCTGGGAGTTTGGTGACTCCCCCGCCTGTTCCCAACTCATCACCCGGGTGTAGGCAGACAATGACTCCGTCTGAGCCCCGAGGAGCCGYTCCTGCTCCTGCTCCAGCAGCCAGGGCTCAGCTGCCCCTCAGCGAGCCCATTCAGTTTGCTAAATTGGCTGAAAACAGGCTGGCCGAATGCTGGGGGAAAATAAAGTGGGTGTGAGATACCCAACACCACCAGCGCTGATGCAAAATGCACATGGGGACACCACAGGGAGGGAGCAGGAAGGTGAGGCTGGAGGGAATGGACACATCACCTTTACACACTGRCCCAAAACCAACACACAATTGTGGAAGTGCTGGTAGAAGTAGCAAATAATCCTTTAAATAGCCTCTGTTTGTTCATCCCAATCCCTTTCCAATCACTGCAATGCCACTAAATGTTCTCAGAACGTGGGAGAAACCTCAGCAGGAAGAGCTCTGTGTAGGATGGATATAATGGAGAAAAAATAGTCATTCTAAAAGTAGCAAGCACCTGAACAGAACCAAGATAAAATAAATGTAAAGGTTTACTGGAACAGCCTTGAAAGTATACTCATACCCTTCGACAAGAATAAAAAATAATATCAATATTTGTAGAAATTCAGCTCAGCTGAATAGTGAAATAATTTAATCTACAACCAGAACAGCTATAAGCACAGTCAGTTACAGACACACCCTACTCACACTAAACACACATCCKCAAAAATCAGAGCAACAGAACCAGGAGATGAAAGTTAAAATGCAAGAAACACCACTATTACAAAAAATAGTTTGTAGTATCATTTAACAGCAACACATTCCAGCTGAGACATCACAACTTTGWAAAGACATCTGTCATGCCAACCCTCCAAATTCTTTTTCCTGTCAGTTGTGAYGCCTTTTCTCCCCAGAAAAGAATGCAGGAATGCTGCCATGCAACCACTTCAAAATCAGATTAGAGGATTCTTTTGAAAAAATCAGCTGGAACTACGTTTAAATACTTGTACCAACAATGAGTCAGTTCTCATCTCTCTTTGGGATCTCACAGTGAGATTTCATTTCAGTACAAATATTAATGAACTTGAAGGAAAGCAGTGGAAGTTTATWCTGTTTTTATCCCACTAACTAAAGTTGGGGTGAGGGAACTGCACTAACTCCAGGCCATCAAAAGCAGCCAAGTGAAACAGAACATGCACTGACTGTAAAAAACCATAGTTATGAGYATCCACTTCCCACACAAGTCAGCAGGATCCGGGATGTAAAACTACATGGTTTTTTTGTCATCTGAAGCTTGTATTTGATGACAGATTTAATGCATTTATAACAGTGACATGCCTGTTTAACAGAAGTTATGCCAGAAATTCTGCAGGCTACAGGAGCCAGGTCAGAGCAGACAAGAGCCCCATTGTGGGTGCTGAGAGATCAGTGCAAAGCACAAGTCTCCCAACAAAACACACCTCCTATATTTCCATACCACAAGTGCTTATTTATTAAGAGGTATGCTCTTATGAAYAGAATTAAATCCTTCACATGACACTGAGGATTACACAAAGCAATTCCTTTGCTTTCCTTAAAGCTGTACAATCTTTTCAATGACTGTACTTTACCTGGGACTCAGTGCAGTCTCAGAATTACCAAATCATTAAATTCTGCAGTGTCATTGGTGAGATGGCTCAATTTAACACGCTTTATGAAATTCWATCAGCAACAGAGGCAAACACAAGCAGTTTATCCTGTATGATTAAGTTTCACTGGAAGGCTGACACAGTGACCTTACAGACCTTACAGTTACTGCTTAGCCAGACTTAGCCTCCTACCCCAGAGAATGTAGGGTAGGAAGGCTCAYGTTGTACAGTTTGCATTGACTCTAAGAGAATGAAGTTATATATATATATTCACAAATTTTATTTTGTCCAGCAAATAAGCTTTAAGTTTTTGTGCTAAATCATTAAAAAATTAATAAAAATCCTAAAAAAAATAGACCTCTGTATCACTTCCCACACAGAGCTTCTTTAGGTCTACATAAGACTTCTCTTTAACTGTAATATATTATTTAAACAATCACTCCTAAGCCCTTTTCTCTAAGGACTCAAGTTTTCAATCATAACGTCAGCATTTTTCCTTTAATATCTTGACACTGATTATATAAGATGAAACAAGAGTCAATGAAATTATATTAAAGCAGTCCAAAACTCCTGTTATTTTCCCACAGGCCTCTTGCACRTGCACCTTTATTTCCTCCTGCCCTTTTCTCGCAGAGGAAATAAAGTACTGAAAACACAGACTGTTTACGTGCCAACATTTAACTCCTAACTGCTTCCCGAGTTTCTCAAGTCACTCTTTGCCCAAAATTAGTAAATAGGCTGAAGAATTGTTTAGGGAGAAAAGAGTGTTAACAATCACCTGTTCATTCACTGAGAAACCAGGCTTGGGCTTGGTGCAAGAAGATGATTTTTTTCTTTCTGAAACTCGAGGTAGTGTTATCAGTAACAATGAGAACAAAAAATGTAACACTAACCTAAAATGCAGAGGATTCCATCAGGCTGAGATTTGCTGCTCTGTGTCAGGATGCTCTGGATATTTCGGAGGCGGCTGCAACTGCAAAAGAAAGAGAATTTGTCCTCAAGGTCACTGTTGTGAAATGTCAAATTGGGAGGCTGAATAGCTGACCCAGCTTTGCTCCCTTTATTACATAAACAAAGAGGACACACTTCARCTTGGGTATTTTTTGTTTGAGGCAGATTCAGACCTCATATCAAACCATTCCAGATTAYTTTTGCCCACTAAAAGATGAAATCCACAGCGCTGAGAGAAGACTGGAACCTGTAATTCTCCCTTCTACCCACGTGCTCTGTTAATCTCTAACATGGCAAAAATTGCTGCTCAGGTTTGCTCTCACCAGGCCAGCAGCAAATTCCCTTCTCCACAAGAGAAACAAAGACCAAAGCAACATCAGAAAGGACCACAGGAGCACCTACATCCCAAGAGGAACTTGAGAAAGAGAAGTTTCAGCATCTCCAGCATCATCAGGARAATCATTAATGTTGTTAAAGACCTCCAAGATCACCAACTGAAACATTAAAGAGAAATGAAACAATGCCAAGGTTTGCCAAGAATTTTCATAATCAAAATGAATAGTTTATTATATGAATTTTAATTCATCTGTCCAATATTTATCTTTAAACCAGGCAAAATTCTATCTGCAACAGRCAGATTTTTTTTTATAATCAAAGTGAATAGTTTATTATATAAATTTTAATTGTTGCCCAATATGCATCTTTCAGCTACAACAGCCACACAGAGAGCAACACAATTTATGCTTAGAGGCAATATTCTGTGAGCTTGTTTAAATACAGATAAAAGACAAGAAATTTCACTGTTGATATTAATGAATGGGATTTCTTGTTTATAGACTTGTTTACAGAACTATGAACTGTTCAGCTCCAGGAAACAAATGTCTCTCACAGAAACACTCAAACAAAGCTAAATTTATGATCAGTTCAAACAAACAATAAAGTAAGGTCAAATATTTCTATTTTCAGCATTACTTTAGCTAAGTAAAAAAGCAAATAGGTCTTTTCAGCAATACCACAATTATTGTGCTCTACTTTCTCTGAAAGAAAGAATGAACATGAAAGGTTTCCATTATGGCTAATCTAAGGGAAATTCAAACATCAGTGATAAAGGACAGACAACACTCCATTTGGAGATACTTTCACAGGAAGCACAAAGTCAGTGAAGTCGCTCCAGCACTAATTTTTCCCTTTTTTAGGTCACATGTTTCAGTTTTGAATCCTTTAATTATTCTTTTTACCTGGAACTTTTCAATTATATGATATGCTATAGTGGATCACAGTCTGCTGGATGGAGGGATGGAGGGACATTTTGATCCGATCTTAAGATATGGAATCAGAAATTAAAGCCACTGATGACAGCAAAGATACTTCATCAGGTATTATCAGATATTTGCCCACACAGCCATGGCAGGAAATCCATAAAAACAAACACTGAACTTCATGTTTCACATTTTAGCAACTTCTAATCATTCCTTCTCTAAAGCCTCACCTAAAACTGAATCTCAGAGCGATACAAAATTAAGGGTTTGTACCTTATTCAGGAAAATTTTCATCCCAGCATTAATCAGAAGCCCAGACCAGCTGGGTGAGAGATGATTCCCTACAACAAGCTCTATTTTTGTGCTCATATTTTCATACTTCCCATATCACGAGATAGAGGGTAGAAAAAAATCCCCAGACTYTTCACTGTGGGCACAAACAAATGGGACTTCTTTCATTTGTTGGTATGGAAACAGCAACACAAATTGCACAAGCCCACAGTTATTTGAGGAGCTCYTGCAGGATTGCTGCAGCCTCTGTGAAAACAAACCCAAGAAAATGGAAGCAACTTCTTGGCACAAAGCTGCTCAAAAGTAAAATCCTTCCCAAAATGCTTCTTGACCTATCTGCAAAGAACTTGTTTCCATGATTCCTGAGAGGATCTGAAGGACAAACTGGAAGAAAAAGGACATCCAAGGACCTCTGCAGTGACACAGCAAACAGCTCCTGGACTTTTAATAAACATTTCCCATATCAGAGGATGCATCTTCCTGTTTCTGCTCAGAGTGAGGAAAGAAACAGTCAACAGAAAAAGTGTTAAGGCACAAGAGGGAGATTTTCCTTCAGCTCCTCAGAAACAAGATGCAATAATCCCTCTGCTGCTCATGGTCAACTCTGATGGCAAATTTAAGTCATTCTCCAGCCAAAGGTTTTTCAGGGCTGTTGAACTCTAAATTTTAAAACCTCTTATACATTATAAATATGACAGGATTACAAACCTATCATTCTCCCCCCTCCCGAYCAGTTATAGAAAAATCAAATGGGCWGAACTCAATTTAACAAAGAACAAGTATAAAAACTCATGGGGAAAGATTTTCCCATTTGTTAAAAACCATTACCATRTGAAACAAGGTAAGCTATTCCTAAGATCTTTAAATTTTAATTTCAAAGGCTTCCATAAAAGAGTGACCCAATAAAACACATTTATCATTTATAAGAAGTAGCACTAGGAGCCTGTGCAAGAAGACCAGAGCAAAAAAAAAAAAAAGCAAATAAATGGGGTTTTTGTCTTCTTGAGTTCTGGGCAAGTATTTTCTGATCAAGTAAACTGTGATGGGTGGAAAAAAGGAAGAATTGGAGGAAGAGAGTCCTCACAGGTTGTGTATTCCTTTCCTTCCTTAAGTTTTCAGTTTACTGAAATATTTACTCTCCTAGAATTACTTTCAATATTTGTCAAATAGATTGTAACCTTGGTGCAGCCCTTAAAAATATCTACAGTCCTCAYATTAAGATACTAAAACATTTCTGCCAGGTGAATCTGGATGTCATGYTACATGTCCTGACATAAAATGTGAAAGCAACAAGCAAATTATATGTTCATTATTGGTCATATATCTCACCATGAAATAAAGTTGTTTATTTCATTCTTAATATTAAGCAGATTACAGCAGAATATTTTCCCTTGCCTCATTTAAGGATTGGTTTCTATGAGAGAATTCCTTGAAAAAGCTCCTTCAGAGAAAAATTTTCAATGTCATTTCAAGCGTGGATAAATCATTACATTCAAAAGCTGACACCAAACACAGAAGACTTGTGTGCCTGAAGAAAGATGCCATTCAGAAATAGGGAAGAGAATAATTAGAATTCTTACRACATGCTTTTAAACAATACAGGCTAAACTGTGCATAAAGTCAGTGGGGGGAAAATAAAGGCATTTTCTTGGACTTCACATTAGAGAGTCATCTGACAAAAACAAAGACACTGTCCTGGGAACACAAATCCATGACTTTTTCCGTCTCCAAAACAAGYGCTGACATTTTACTCCTTTTCATTTGACCCCAGCAGCACAAATTCAAAAGGAAACAACAACCTCCACTCAAACCTGTGGGCCTWGGGATGCTTCCCTGGAAGATTTGGCTCTGGAGCCACCATCGACAAAACCACAGCTAAACTTACAGTAACCTCCAGCTGAAAAAAACAGCATTAGGTGTGTTTGGAAACATAGTGAAAGGAAGCTCCGAAATGCTGGATTTCATGAGATTTGGGCAAGAGGAGCTGGAAGCGACTTATCCACCCATATCCTATGAGACAACTTCCAAAGTGGGTAAGAAGTTGAAATAATAGGTGAAGAGGAAATTTTTTTCCCCACTTTTGACCAGAAAATGGGATTTTTCTGTCGGTTTAAACCAGAATAAAATCTCCGGGTGCTGGGAGGGCCAGTCTGGCCCTTCTCGCCGCCTTTGTGTCTGCACTAACGATCTTGAAGCCATGTGTCAGGTCGGATCAGCTTATGGATCCAAACAACCTCCAGCCTAGGAATTAAAAAGAAAACAACGCTTTCAACCAGCGGCAAGCTGACCTGACTGCTGATGAAGGCAGGTCAAAAGGCAAAGCCACATTTTGGGGKGACATCTGGCAATAAAGTGCGCTTGGGTCAATTAAGGAATTGTACCTTGAGGTACTTGATATTCCGCTAATCTTGGACTAGATCCAGAAAAAAAAATAAAAAAGGGGAGATAATTGACAATCATTAACTTCCAAGAATTAGTGCTCATCTGTTCACGTCTTCACACTAATTATGCAAAGCACCTCGCTTTACAACAGCCAGCCTGTCACAGCCTGGTAGCAGACACGGCGCTGCAAGGCACGTCTGTTGGCAAATAAAGACAATATTAACAACTTCGCCTTTCTCAATCACAAAGAACAAATACATTTCCTCAACAATACCACGCGGTGCTTGAATTTCCATCCGATTTCGTTTATTTTCCCACAAGGCTGGCTGGATTTATCCTGAGTGCAAGCTGCCTTTTCTTGACGTCCTAATCCAGCGCCGATATTAGCATTGATCCCTGCCCGATCGCCGGTGGATTCTCACCATACGGCCGCCAGGGCTGTAACTGTGTTTAAAACCCGATTCGGCTGACAAAGGCTGAGATTTCGCTGTGTTCGAGCTGGTTTTTGCTTCATCTTGGCAGATGTTTCGCTCCTCCCCCACAAAGGCTTGGCAGCCCGAAAAAAGCCGCACGTGGCCGTGGTTTGATGGATGCCGGGGAACAACGGGGAAAATCGGAGATAGCCCTGGCAAGCCTGGGCGAATTCTCACATTAGCWGGGAATAACTTGAATAGATTCCTGCTGTCTACCTAAGACAATGGTTTTAACATTAACCGCTCGATTTAGCATAAATAAATAAACAAAACAGAACGGTAATACACGTTTTCTTTTGGTTTTTTTTTTTCCCCAAATCTCACTTCTTGTTAACTCGCTGTTATTACCAGCTGTTTTCATTTTACTCCCCGAAAAAAGGTCAAGTTTAGTTTTCTTGGGTCTTTTGTTGACCTCAAGTTTCCATCAGAAACACTGTCTGCTTTTATTTAGAGKCCAGGATTTCCCTGGATTCCCACAATCTGACATTATCCCCACCTTACTATAGCTGTGAAAACAGAYACCAGAAGTCAGGCTGAGCTAAAGCCTCTCGGAATTTCATTGATTTCAAAATAACTGTTTCATTGCTTGGCACTCACAAAAGACAACATTCACCCAATTTAAAACATATGACAATTTTCCAGCTATTTTCCAAATTTCTCTACAATGAGCATAGGGATCTTGACCGTCAACAGGAGATCTAGTAACAGTTTAGGAGCTTTGAGAAGCAAATATTACAACTGGACATAGATGAATAAATTTAAACTGTGTGCATTTTCAGGACCAAATTCCTTACTTCTTGACCTTAAATGGACTGGAATATTCAATTCTGTAATCCAAAGACCTCAAAGCACATTGGAAGTTTCTCCTTRCTAGACACCTGGAACTGCCTGATGCCATTTGCACATCACAAACTTGTTGAGGATTTTTATTTAAGGATGGGTCATCCATCACTTACACACCAGTCAGACCCTAAGCTTATATGTTCTCTCTRATTAACAGGCTAATTTATAAAAACCATGCCTGTATTGTCACTTTCTAATTTTGCAGCACATTTTGGAGAGCACMAACCATTCCYTCTCCAAAAACATTATCAGCTGARAAAATAAYAATTGAAGAAGCAGCAAAAACCAGYAGCTCTGTCACTGATTAAAAGGACAGGGCACTGGAGCAGAAATCAGAAGTTAAGCTAGGGTGCCTCAAGACTAAATTCACCTTCAGGGCCTTTCCTGGACCACAGGCTCTGCAGCCACGTGGCCACCAAGCTCCAGATCAGATGCTGGGCCATCAGTTCAAGCTGAATGATCACAAAGGGAGAGCTCAGCTGAAGCTCCACGTGCAGCTGAGTCAATGCCACAGCTCTGCTTTTCTCTTTGGCAAACTTCCCTTCTAGTTCCTCTCCATTCCCATCAATCACATGGTTCCACATCCCTCAATTTTCACTGGAGCAGACCCTAAGCCATCTTACTTCGCTTGGTTGGCAGAAAACCATCCATATTCAAGGAATGGGAGTTGTTTTTCTTTTTTCTCCTGTACTTCAGCAAGTTAAATCAGCTCTCTCTTTGAATTGCTAAAATAAAGTGCATTCCTTAAAAAAAAAAAAAATCCAACTGTGCTCTTACAAAATCCTGAACCTCAGCATAATTACCTAAGGAACTCATGGGCACAGACTGTTAATCTTCCATCAGAGACAAGTCCCCAACTAAAACTGGTTGGGAAACCACAACACCTCTTTGGTCCCGTGCTCCCAAATACCTCATTCATGAAAAAAAGCCATATATTCAACCACGATGTGATTAACAACAGAATGGTTCAGAGCAGGAAAATGTTAAGCACAGAGGAAGAGACAAGAGAAAAATTCACCCAAAGACTCATTTTGCATTTCCCCATACAGACACATGGTGAGAACTCATCTGTATTACGTTACCAACATGGATAATGAATCGTGAGGATTTGCTTACTCTGTTTTACATAAAGGTAATTCAGATTGGGTGGGTGCAGAGCGCTCTGAAATAGAACAAATCTGCATTGATTTTCAGATGGAGATATTCAAAACAAGCACTTAATGGAAATTTTGTGCAGAAATGCCTGTGTTCACAAGGAAAAAACACTTATCCACCACTAAACACAAGCACACGAAAGATGACATCACCTCCCAAAAAGAAATCCCCTTTTTTGGGCAGCACCCCTCTCTTACTTAAGGGATTTTTTTTCTTTCTATTTACAAACCCATTCTTTATTTGTTACAATGTTGAGGGTCGCCAGTTCCTAACGTGCCACAGGGCAAACTACAACTCTCAAGTATGTGGAAGAACTCCAAGAATTATCTCTGGCCCTGTCTCCGGTCTTTATATAGTCTGAAGAATTTTTCCATTCCTGTTTGGGAACTTGGGGGCAGGGAGAGGAGAGTAATGGATTGTTTTGTTTTAAGTTATTTTTATTAACTGCCYGCTATCTGCTGACTGCCTGGGAAATTTATTGCAAACACTGGCCTCCATCTGGCCTGACAATAAAAAAAAATTTAAAAACTGCACAAGAACGAATGTTGGAGAGGAAAAAAAATTAACAGATGACATGGCTCCTACAAATGCACCAAATTACAGTTGCTGGCTGCATCYCCCAGTGCAGCTCAAAAGCTTGCAGATGTTCAGAGAGTCTGAATGTTCTCATGACAACTCTAAAACAGGGTCTCAGATTACAAAAATCACTCAGGAAGAGGTAGGCTTGAGTGGAAACCATTTTCTCTTCCAGCATTTTTTTAACCATCTTGGCATTTTGCTACTGATCATGAATCATGAATTTTTAGATACTTTATGGCTCTAAATAAAATCTAAGCCCTCTCTAAACAAGATTAATTTATTCAGTGAAAAAATTACTTGAAAAGGTCACTTTTCCTTCTCTCTCATTATCAATTCAATTTCTAACTGCAGGCAGAGAGAAATATAACCAGCACAGAACAGCCATGTTTCAAGCAAGCAGAACAACCTCTATTTCTCTCTCTCACAACAGAAATCCTCATTTCACTGGCAAACTGTCCAAAAAGTGAAAACGCTTTTGCTCCTTCCTTGTACTAAACATAAAAAGCTTTTTTGGTTTTGGCGTTTGTTTGGTTTTTTTTAATTGAGAATCTACAGCAAACACAAACCCAGGTAGCTTGGCCAAGTGTTTATCTGCAATTCACGTGCAACATCCCCATTCCCTTATTATCTGGCTTCCCACTGGTGAATACTTCCATGTATTGTGCTGGAACTATTGAAAGCATCAAGCACTTCAGTTCCTGGCTTATYCTTTGTGGTACCATAAAGCAGAATYATGGAATCATTTAGGTTGGAAAAGCTCTCCAAGACCATCGAGTCCAATTGTTAYCCCAACAYTGCCAAGGCCACCATTAAACCCTGTCCCTAAGAACCACAAAAATGTCTTTTAAATGCCTTTTGAAYACCTGTCCACTCCACCAGTGCCYTGGGCAGCCTGTTCCAATGCTGGAMAATCSTTCCTGCAGAGAAATGTTTGGTAATATCCACCCTAAACCTCTCCTGGCACAACTTGAGGCCGTTTYCTCCATTCAAACCCTTCAGATAATGGACTGCAGCTTTGTACACATGGGTGCACCTTAAGTCTCCAAAAGGAAACAGAGCCCTGGTAACCTAAGGATACCTGAGCTGCCACCTGAGCTCCCAGGGAGCCAAGGCCACCATCTCACATGTCCCTACAAATCCTACCCCATATATTTTCCAAGCTCAGAAAATGTTATTACCTTTATATCAACAAGACCCCCAGCAGGTGCCCACACAAATACAGCATCTCCTTTCTCTCCATAATCACTCAGCCCCTCCCAAAGCTCACATATACCTACCCAAATTCCCGTTTCCTACTTCTCACAAGCCTTTCTTTCCCTGTCTCCAAGGTAGCCCTCGCCCATCCCCTCCCAAATCAGTCCCAGGCTTATCCCCCAAAGAAACACGACCCCAAATCCATTCTYTGCACAGCAGCCCTTTGCTGTCCTCCTGTTCCTCATCCATCGCAGCCTCCCACACACTTTGCCAATCCCTACATCCACAAGGTCACATCAGGCYCCTGTCTGCCGCCCTGTCAGGGCCACCAGCACCTCCCTCTCGGTAGCCACCTGCCAAATTTGTCTGTCCACATCATATGCCTGTCCCCTTCACATGCTGCTCCAGCCCMCCAAAACCCCCTTAATGAGCCCAAATCCGACCGCAAAACCTCCTACAACTCACCGCCCCCCGGAACGCCAGAAAACCTATTCTTAATACCCCATCACTTCTGTTCCACCCCAAACCTCTGCATCCCTATCCTTCCCACCCCAACGCCTTAAATTAGGTGTTAAACTGTAATTTATCCTCAACCACCATCAGCTGTGCGAATGCCCCACCTTATCCCCATCAAACACCTTAACACCCAATGATAACGTTTAAAACCTCTCCCCAAACCCTCTATCCCAGCACCTCCAAAGCCTGAGCCCCCTCATCTTCCCACCCCAACGCCCCCAAACAGGCGTTTAACGCCGTTTCTTCCACAATCACCGCCACAGCTGCGAAAACCTCCGCTTCTCCCAAACCAAACCCCTTCTCACTTTATCATCAAAACCCTTCACATCCCCTCTCAGCGCCCCCCACAATGCGCCCCCACCCTTCACACCCCCTTCTCCACCCCACAGCCCCCTCGGCGCAGCCCTGCCGCTCGCTGTCACCCCACTCCCTGCCGTTCCCGCTGCCCTCTCCGGTACCTGACGAAGGGTCCCGGGGCTCGGGGCCGGGGCCGGTGCCGGGGGGGCGGCGGGAGGAGCGCGGAGCGGCCGCACAGCGCCATGGCGACCGCGATGCGCCGGAGGAACGGGGAGGCTCCGCCACTGCGGCCCCGCGCCCCGCCCCGCGCAGCGCGCACCACTCGGCCCGGGGGGGACGGACGTGGCACACCCGCACCGCTCCCAGCGCTCTCCGCCTTTCTGACCGCGCGGATTCACTCCGAGTTGTTTTTTTTTTCGTCTAGCAGTGGGTGGAGTCGGGAATTTTTGGACAGCCGCCGGTAGGTGCGAGTAAACATAGCGGGGATGCGGATGGTCACCCCTCGGATAGGAATGGGCTCGTCCAACTCCAGCCCCTGGCTCGCACACCCCTCACTCCCCCCCGCGCTCGCTCATGGGCGCGTCCGGCCCCCACCGCTGCTGTCGTTCTGCCCCCCCTCCGTGGGGTGTGGGCTCGTCCGATCCCGGGGAGGGGGGGACAAGGGACCCCCGGGAAAAGGTGACACTGAGACCCCCGGGAAAAGGGTGACACGGAGACCCTCTGGAAGGGTGACACGGAGACCCCCGGGAAAGGGTGACACTGAGACCCCCGGGAAGGGTGACACGGAAACCTCCGGGACCCCCGGGAAGGGTGACACTGAGACCACCGGGACCCCTGGAAGGGGTGACACTGAGACCCCCGGGAAAGGGTGACACGGAGACTCCCCCGGGACTCCTGGGAAAGGGTGACACGGAGACCCCCGGGACCCCCGGGACTCCCGGGAGGGGATGACATGGAGACCCCGGGATCCCTGGGACTCCCGGGAAGGGGTGACACGGAAACCCTCGGGACCCCGGGAAAAGGTGACATGGAGACCCCCAGGACCCCCTGGAAGGATGACACGGAGACTCCCGGGACCCCCGGGAAAGGGTGACACGGAGACCCCTGGGAAGGGTGACACTGAGACCCCCGGGAAGGGTGACACTGAGACCCCCGGGACCCCCGGGAAAGGGTGACACGGAAACCTCCGGGAAGGGTGACACTGAGACCCCCGGGAAAAGGGTGACACGGAAACCTCCGGGAACCCCGGGAAGGGTGACACGGAAACCCCCGGGAAGGGTGACAGGGAGACCACCGGGACCCCTGGAAGGGGTGAGACGAAGACCTCCGGGACCCCCGGGAAAGGGTGACACGGAGACCCCCGGGACCCCTAGAAGCGGTGACACGAAAACCCCGGGACCCCTAGAAGCGGTGACACGAAAACCCCGGGATCCCCGGGAAGGGGTGACACGGAGACCCCCGGAACCCCCGGGAAAGGGTGACATGGAAACCCTGGGACCCCCGGGAAAGGGGTGACACAGAGCCTTGAGGAGCAGGGGGACACAGAGACCCCCAAAATCTCCCAGAGCCCCGAGGGACGGTGTAGCCAGGATCCCATCCAGAACCCCAAGGATGGTATGTCCCCATAGAGTGATGTATCCTGGATTTTCCCAAGTGTTGTCCCACCGGCACAGGACATAACCCCATGTCCACCCAGCATTGTGACCCCTCCCCAACCCCACTCACCCCAAAACCACCACAGCCCCGCTTGGGCACCCCTCTGGGGCAAGTCACCAGTACCCACATGGGTTTTTCTTGTTATCCCCCCAAAATAATCCCCTTTTTCCAACCAGCACCCCTCTGTGCTGGCTGTGTCCAGCACAAMCATCCTCACAGACACCTTTTTTCTTTTTCACACCACAAATTCAGCGTGTTTGTCCCCTTCATCCTGCTCAACCTGAAGATTCCAGCCTTGCCACGAGATCTGGCCATTGAAACCCTTTCCCCAGTCTTTTTCCACTTCACCCAAATGTTGCACCATTGCCAAAAAAATGAGCCGGGATTTTGGGTCCAGCACAGAAAACCTCCAAAGATCTCTAATTAAAGCACTGAGGTCATCACAACGTAATGAAGGAAGGATCTGGAGCCAGGATTTAATGAACCGTGAGGGGCACACRGCTGGGAACCCGTTAATCACACATCCCTCGGCCAAGGGGAGCACATCCTGCTCCTTCTGCACCCTCCTGGTTCACCATCAAACCCCCGGGGATGGAAAAGCTGTCCCATGGCATGGCAAAAGGTTGGGAAAGCATTAAGGAACACCGAATTTGCTGTGGGGGCTCTCGTTCCCCCCCAGAGCGTTAATCCCRCCCTCCCAGTGCTAATCTGGGCTCCCTGTGTTGTGTCCATCCCCATTAATCACCCCGGGGGATAAGACCCCTGGTCTGCATCTTATTTTAATTACACCGGTATTGGCCAAGAGCAGAGCAAAGCCCTAAATCTGCAGCTTTGGGGTGTGATGGAGGCACAGGGCTGCTCAGAGAAAACTCCTTTTCTCTTCCTGAAAAACYCAAATCAC